ATATATATATATATAAATAAATAGATGCACCTTAAGACCTGAGGATTACATATGGTTTCTAATATCATAAATAATGAGAAAAAACAAATAGTGCTTTTATTTTTTAACAATGTTTGTAACAGTTTAATCAAAGTACTTCACCTTAAGAATCAATTCCTGATTCCGCTGGTACAAAGCTTGCTTCTCCTCCACCCACTTCAAATCCTGTCAGTGGCAGGGACAGAGAGACACACAGTTAGAAAATAGAAAGGGACTGGTCGAAAGGGACAGATAGAGACAGAGATGGACATAGACAGAGATAGACAAAAAAGACTGAGACTGAAAGACACATAAACAGAAATTATTAGAGATAGGCAGAGACAGAACATGGACAGAGACATAGATGGCTATGGAAAGTTGGAAATGGAGAGAAACAGAGATTGACAAAAAAGAGACAGAGATGGACAAAGAAAGATGGACAGCAACTGATGCAGAGAAATAGTCGAAGCCTAGACAGAGACAGAAATCGACGGGGGACCAAGACAAAGATGGACAGAGGGAGAGGAAGGACAAATGCATAGACATAGACTAATAAAGTGACAGAGATGTACAGAGACAGTTAGAGGACAGAGACAAATGTTTAGACAGAAACATACATAGGGAGACAGAGATAAAGAAAGCAATAAAGGGCGAGACAGTGAAACTGTCCATCATTAAACAGGGGCAGAGGCCTCCATGTCCAACTGTCCCCCTCTTTCAATGCTCTTATCGCTAGTATGCCTCAGCCCTCTGTGAATAGCAAGTGGCCATCAGGGCATTAATGACCAACTGTTAGGCTGATGTTCCTCATTTAAGCTAGTTCTGGATTGCAACAACAAAACTGGTTGATCCATTATGAGAAGGTGCTATTTATAAGAATGAGTTTGTTGTAGCTCCTCAGACTGAAGTCTTTTGGATAAAAGATTAAACATTTCAAATAAGTATTTTTTTACATTTTATTTTTACTTTTTACATCTGTCCAAAGGACCTGACTTAACTTTGTTAGATTTTTCTACCTGGATTATTGAGTATGCATCAGGATACAGCAACAGTAATTAGAGAGAGGTAGGAAGGTACTTGTGGTCTCATTTGGACAGAGAATGAATAAGGAAACCTGGTGGTGGAATAGTGAAGTACCAGAAGCTATTCAAATAAAGCGGTTAGCCAAGAAGAAATGACAGTGAGAGGACTGAAGAGAAGAGACAGAAATATAAGGATATGCAATGTAGAGCAAAGAGGGAGGTGGCAAAGCAGAAGGCATATGATGAGTTGTATGGGATGCTGGACGCTAAAGGGGGCGAAAAGGACTTGTGCCATTTGGCAAGACAGAGGGATCAGGCTGGAAAGGATGTGCAGAAGGTCAGGCTTGTTAAAGATTGGAATGGTCAGAGTCAGAGTCAGAGATTCTTTATTGTACTAACTTTAATGTACTTTTATTTACTTTATTTTACTAACATTATTGTACAAAGTAATTTTAATATACTAACAAATCAGGAGACTGATGGGAAGATGGAAGAGAATGAAAGAGAATGAAGAGTAGTGGTCATAGAAACTGTAGACTATGATGTTGGAAAGATTAGTGAGGGTGAAGTTCAGAAAGAAATGATGACGGGGAAGGCAGTAGGACCTGATGACATTAGTGGATGTTTGGAAATGTCTTGGAGAGATGGAAGTGAGGTTTTTGACCCAAATATTCAGAGTCAGAGTCAGAGTCAGAGTTTCTTTATTGTCATTCGCACCTCATGTGGTACATGTGGTGGAGCGAAATTATGTACACAGGGTCCCAGTTACATCCAACAATAAAATGTATAAGAAAAACAGTAATAACATCTAAGATATGAACTAAGAAAAACATCAACTAAATATACACTAAGCACTCATAACATAAAACATTGAACATCACCACAAACATGAACATGAGTCTGTGAGCAGATGTGCACGCATGAACAC